ACTTGATGCTGAAGCCCTCGCTGGGTGGCAGCTGAGGACTGGGCGGACGAGCGGCTTGGGCGGTCGGTAGGGCCGCCCTGCAGCACGTAGAAGCCCAAGTCCTTGGCGAAGATCCCCCGCGCGCCCCGGCCCTGCCAGCGCCGGCACAGGGCCGTTGTTCTGCAGCCGCAGCGCTTCGGCGGGGATCAGGCTCACGTCGACCGCCCAGAAGTTGCCCTTTGCCTTGGGCTTCGCAGGATCCTTGGGCACCTGATGTGGAGGAGGGCGGGGGCGAGCTTGGTGGGGCCGCCCGACCCGGGATATTCAGGATTTCCCTCCCACCCCGCCCCCCGCCCCCGGCTCCGGCTCGGACCCGGGCCCAGCCCCACCTTGCGGAAGCAGCGGTTGGAGGAGAGGTTGTGGCGGATGGAGTCCTTCCAGCCCTCGTAGTCGTCCCTGAAGAAGGGGAACACGGCCTGGACCTGACGGATGATCTGAAACCACCGGGCAGGCGCCGTGAGCCCGGGCGCGCAGGGGCAGCGCCGCCCCTCCCCCACAGCCAGGCTTGGGGCGCCCCTGACCACCTCCCGGCACCTGCACGCCCGAGGGAGCAGAGGGCACCTCACCAGTGAGCACCTCAGCTCTCTCCTCTGGTGCCCAGGTCGGCACTGGCCCCACTGGCATAGCTGGGCAGGGCCAGGTGGGGATGGAGGCCGGAGCCTAAGCCTGGAAGGAGGTGGGGGTCGGGTCTGGGGAAAGGTCCGAACCCGGAGCGTGAGGGAGAGCGGGGACCCTCTCACCTGGGCCAGCTTCAGCCGGCGGGAAGGTGCAGCCTGGATCACCAGGGCGATCATAGCCAAGTAGGTGTAGGGAGGCTTGTCATGCCGAAGGTATCGCTTCTTCCTCCTCTTGGGGGGCTGGGAGGGCGACTCTGCCCCCGCGAGCCCCAGGCCTGGGTTGCTGCAGGGCCCCATAAAGGGGAGGCCAGCAACGTGGGCAAGGGTCCGGAAGGGCTGAGGGCGCCGGGCAATAGGGTAGGAAGGTGAGGCAGGGCCAGGGCCTGAGGCTGGGTGGGGGCAGGCGGGGCCGGGCCCTTTATCATTCGGATGGAAGGGGGAGGGGAGAGGAGGCCAAGGGAGGTGGAATCGGGCGGTGGGGGAGGGGACCAGGCCGAGGGCTGCCACAATTAGCAGGTTTCAGTTAATCTGGGAGGGAGGGGCCGGGGAGATTCCAGTGGGGGTTGCAGGAGGCCACCCAGGCCATGTTTCTCACCCCTGGGCTGCCTTTGGCACCCCCTATAAGCTGGAAGGAAGAGCCGGGGAAGAGCCCAGGACTCAGGGTTATTTGTCAATCTGTCCGGGCTGGGGCTTAGGCTCCCATTTCACAGACGGGAAAGTGACTTGCCCCAGCCAGGCTGCCAGTAAGAGTTCAAGGCCAAGCAGCTGGAAGGACCTGAGTGGTGGATGGAGGGCTTCCTGGAGGAAACCTCAAGGGGGGGGGCAGGCAGAGACAGTTGATTCCAAGGGTTTTCCCAGGGGCTGCTGCAGGGCCTCAGTGGCTCCCCGGCCCGGAGGCCTCGTTGCTTGTCCACAGTTGGTCCTCGGAGCTGACTGCCCTCGTTTAACTTTGCACCTCCCTGGCCCTGAGTGAGCTGGACCTGCTGGCCATGGAGGACTTGTTGGAGCCAGGTTTGCCTCACTTTTCTTCTCCTGCTCTGGGTCCAGATGTTCTCTCTGGGGGTTACCCCTGGAAGGATGTCTCTCATTCCTTGGGGGCACTTGGGCAGTACCCTGGGCTGGGGTGCAGGGAGGGAGAAGTCTCCTTCCTGGAGGGGTTTTACTGGCCACTTCTCAGGGAGCCCCATGGGTCACAGTTGCTCCCCAGGAGAGTCTTCCAGGAGCACCTGGCTTCACCCCGCGTGGGAGTGCGTGCAGGCTTGTGTGTGTGCGCACAGGAAGGACTTGGAGGCAGCCACAGCACCCTGGCACTTGGTCTAGAACAGGGGTGGGGAATGTCCCTCGGGACGGGCGGTGTCATTTGGTCTGGCCCTGTCAAGGCAACTGCAGGCAGGACTTGAAATTCAATAAATCTAGGAGCTTGTTTCAGAGCAACATAATTTTTAAGTTGATAATTTTTGTATGGCCCGAGAATGATGTTATAAATATCCAAAGGCCCTTTTTTTTTTATCTCATGGCATATAAACTAATTACTAAAAGTCTGCAGTGGCACACCAAAAATATATATATTTTTGCCCATCTGACAAAAAACAACAACAAACCAAATAGGGCCCGGCTGGTGTGGCTCAGTGGTTGAGCATCAACCCATGAACCAAGAGGTCACCAGTTTGATTCCTGGTCAGGGCACATGCCTGCGTTGCAGGCTTGATCTGTGCAAGAGGCAGCCAATCAATGTTTCTATCTCTCTAACCCTCTCCTTCATCTCCCTCCAAAATCAATAAAAACATATATTTAAAAATTGGTATAATTTTGATTCATTTACACCAGATGGCTATTGCTATGTTGGCTGTTGTCATATTTTTATTTGATCATCTAAGGCAGTGGTTCTCAACCTTGGCTGCACCTGAGAATCACCTGGGAATCTTTTAAAATCCTGATCTCAGCCCCAGAAACCAGGATTTTAAAAAGAATCCCAGGTGAGTCTCAGGTGCAGCCAAGGTTGAGAACCACTGGTCTAAAGGAAAAGAGGTCAGCGCCTCTCTCTAAATAGTCAGGGGTTGCGTATTTTAAAAATCCTGGCGGGCACGCCAGGGTTCCGGGTGGTGTTGAGAACCCGGGCTGGAGGAGGGAAATGCGCTCCGGCTGGAGGGGCCGGCCCGGGGGAGGAGGGGCTCTGGGAGGGAGTGGAAGCTCAGGCGGGGGAAGCCCGAGGGACCAGCACCCCCTGCGCACACCTGGCCCCCGTGGGGGCTCAGCAGGGACAGGATGATCCAAGGTGTGGTCGTAGCAAAACGCCTGCGCCGCTGCCCAGGCTCCCAGTCCTGACTCCCAGCCCCTCTGCCCCTCCCCTGTCCTCCCTGCCATCTGATCTATGAGTCGGTCAAGGCCTCAAGCCCAGATGCCCCCAACCACACACGCCGGGCAAGCGTGCCCAGGCCTGCTGGCAGCGGGGCGGCCACGGAGCAGGAAGCCCAGGCTGAGGTGCGCGTGGGAGCCACGCTGCTCCCCGGCCGCCTCTCCCTGCACACCTCGCCGGGCCTCCTCCAGGGGTCGACCCGACAGCTCCAGGGGTCGGTGTCTCACCGGCGGGCACTACCGATGGCCTCCCGGCCACTCGGGCTCCGTCCCCCCGCTCCCCCCTCCTGTCCTCCCTGGCCTCCAGGATGGAGCCCGCTCCTGCCCAGACCCGCCGCCGGACCACACCCCGCTGCTGCCCGCTCCCTCTACGCGGGACGCCTCGGCCTTGTCGGCTGAGCTCCGACCCTTCCTTAAAGCCCAGCCTCAGGGATGGCCGCCTCCCGACAGCCTCGGTCTCCTCGCCCTCCCGCCCCGCGCGGGCCCACCCACCCCGAGGACGCCTGGGCCGCAGAGATTCTCCCGCCGCTCAGGGCAGGCCCCGCCCCCAGGGCAGGCCCCGCCCCCGGCTCCCTCGGCCCGGGCTTCCGGCTCCCTCGGCCCGGGCTTCCGGCTCTGGGCCCGCGCGGCCGGAAGTGTAGCGTTGCCATGGCGAGGGCCCGGCGCCGGGCCCGCCCCTGCGGCGCCTGGAGGAGCGCGGGGCTGACTGACCGGTGGGCCGGATCCGATAGATTGAGCGCGGCGGAAGGTGAGGCTCGGACTTCCGGGGCCTGCGGTGGGAGGGGGCCGGGCCCCCCAGGAGAGAGGAGGACGGGCCCCCCGGGAGACAGGAGGCCAGCCTGGGGAAGGTGGGAGGCCAGCCCCCAGGAGGGAGGAGGCCCGATGGAGGCTGCGCTGAGCTGAGAGGAAGAGGAAGATCAGATCAGGTTGGGAGGGAGGAGGCAGGGCCCAGATGGGCCTCAGGGAATCCCAGGTCTGGGCAGCACACAGGCCCCACTGGGTGCTGGTGGGGGAGGCCCAGGGTCGGGTGCTGAGGGTCAGGAGCAGCTTGGAGAAGCGACGCCCCGAAGGCCCCAGAATGGCTCTTCATGCGTTACCGACACGGGGACGGTTCTCATTCTTGCAACCTGTTGTCAGCACTGGGATCACCTCCATTTCAGCCCCGGCACTGCGGCCGCAGGGAGTGACTCACCCAGGCTTGGCGTGGGCTTTGGCGTTAGGCCCGGGGACCAACTGGGGCCTCTCGGGGCAAGTTCCTTAAACTTTCCGGGGCTCGAGTGACCTCACTTAGAGTGTGGGGGTCCCGGGCTCCGCCTCACAGATTGGGGTCAAGTTGAGACGTTCTAATGTGTGGACAGCCTGGCCCCATGCTGCGCAGGAGGTACCCCGGCCGGGGCCTGCCAGGGAGTACCATGGGCGGTGTGGACCCCTTGCCGTCCTGGAGCAGAGGCTGCCGGGACTGGGGGTTAATTTCCGTGGCTGCGGAGAGGGAGATATGCATGGAGTCCTTCCAGAGAAAGGGGGGCCTCCCCAAGTCTCTGGTGTCTACCAGCAGCTTGCTCACTGTGTGCCGTTTTGGAATCTGAGTCTCAGGTGAACCTCCGGTGACCAGCATACCGTAGCTGCCGAAGAGTGCCCCACCCCAGCCCCAGCCACAGTCCACCATTAGCAAAGCAGGGCATCTGAGTGGGAGTCCAGGCTCTTCCCTACCTCCTGGCTCTCTCAAAACCTCCTCCTGAAGAGCCCTGACAGGGCACTTCCCATCCATTCCTTCATCCAAATAGCTGGGTGCAGCCGCTGCCCCCCCCTCCACCCCCCCACGACCTTGGCTCTGCCTCAGCGCATTGCCTTCACCCTTTGTACCTTAGCCAGGTGAGTGATTGGTTCTTGTGCTCACCTGAATCCTCCCTCCTCTGCTCTGGCCCCTTCCCACCACCTTTCCACCATGCAGAAGCTCTGCGTGGAGGTGGAAGGGAGAGAGCGAGCTCCCCCACCCCTTCCAGCTCTGGGCCGTGGGCAGGACCTCCCTAGCCCCCGTGGAGAAGGGGCAGAGAGGTGCAGGGAAGTCTGCTTCCACAGGTGCCCGGGGGAGGGTGCCATGAGGAGGAGCGCGTGCTTGGTGGTTCTGAGATGTGCCGTCTGGGAAACTCGCCGCCGTCCGGGGGTAGAGCCCCGGCTGCCAGTGCATTGCTTTCTCCTGTCGATTCCGTCTCCCTCGTAGTTTCACAGGAACAAACTCACACACAAACCCTTGGTGTCGGACTCCTTCCCCTGCGGGACGTTGGGAAAGCCAGGGGGTTGCCTGTGTGGGTAGTTGATTTCTGTTTGCTGAGGGGGTATTCCATGGTGCAGGTAACAGCCATTTCTTTAAAAAAAATAAATTGTCCTATAGTAACATTTATTCACTTATTTTTTATTGATTTTCAGAGAGAGGAAGGGAGAGGGAAAGAGATAGAAACATCAATGATGAGAGGATTACTGACTGGCTGCCTCCAGCACACTCCCTACTGGGTATCGAGCCCACAACCTGGGCACATGCCCTGACCGGGAATTGAACTGTGACCTCCTGGTTCATGGGTTGACGTTCAGCCACCGAGCCACGCCCGCCGGGCAGGTGTACACACACCAGGGTTCGACTGCTGTGCTTACGAGTCTGTGTGGACGTGAGGTTTATTTCTCTTGGTGTGAAATGATAGAAAGGAGGGGTTAAGGTGTGTGGTTAACTTTATAAGAAGGTGCCGAACTATTGTCCAAAACGGCTTCACATTCATTTTACATCCGCACTCGCTCCATGTTCTCTTTACGTCAGTGCTGCCATCCTTTTAAAAGTTCAGCCCTTTTCATAGGTGTGTGGGGCTCATGGTGGATTAGTTGGCATTTCCTAGGGATGGTGTTGAGGATCTTCTTCCTGCGCCTGCTTTGCTGGCCATTTGTGTATCTTCTTTTGTGAGTGTCTGTTCAGATCTTTTGCCCTTAAAACAATGGGCTGTTTGCCCTGGCTGGTGTGGCTCGGTTGGTTGAGTGTCGTTCCGTGCACCGAGGGCTCACTGGTTGGGTTCCTGGTCGGGGGCATTTGGGAGGCGGCTGATCAATGTTGCTCTCTCTCTCTCCCTCTCCCTCTCTCTCTTCCTCTAAAATCAATAAAACTTTTTTTAAAAATGGGCTGCTTGTCTTACCCAGTTTTAAGCGTTCTTTGTATCTTTGGGGTGCCAGGCTGGCCGGCCTGGGAATTGTGTGCCAGCGTCTTGAACAGTAGACGCTTGGAATTTCGATGAAGTCCAGTTTGTCAGTTTCTCCTTCATTGTCTGTGCTTCTTCTCACGGTGCGCGTGGAGGCCAAGGGCCATTGTTTCCACGTGGACATCTGGTTGTCCTGACACCCCTTTTTGAAGACCATCCTCTCGCCATCGTATTACCTACCACCTCTTTGGAAACCGGTTGATGTACAGGAGTGGGTCCATGTCTAGATTCTCTGCTTTTGCCGGGACTTGTGCTGCTATCCCACAAGTTTGACTGTGGCAGCTTCATAAGTCTTGAGATCAAGAACTGTAAATTCTCCAACTTGGTGACTGTTTTTCACATCATTTTGGCTCTTCGAGATATTATGCAGTTCCTTATACATTTAGAATTAGCTTGTGATTTCCCACAAAAAAAGCTTATTGGGATTTTGACCGGGATTGTATTAACCCTATAGCTCTATTTGGGGTGAATTGACATTTAACAGTATAGAACATGGTGCATCTCCATTTATTTAGGTATCTGTACTAATTGTCTATTGCCTTTTAACAAATAATCTTAAAACAGAATGGTTTAAGCAGTAAACATGACCTCAGAGTTTCTGGTGGGTAAGGAGTTCACGATCGTCTTAGCTGGGTGGCTCCTGGCCTCATGCGGTTGCAGTTGGGGTTGTCCTCCGGGTCTGCTTGCCTGGTGTGTGTGAGTGTGTGTGTGTGTGTGTGTGTGTGTGTGTCAGAGTATTCCATGCTTGTGATACTGATTTTGTAAATGATATTTAAAGTTCTGCATTTTCCAAGTACAGAGACATGCAGTTGATTTTGACATTGAACTTGTGTCCTACAACCTTGCTATTTATTTGAGTGACCCTCCTATAGATTCCTAAGAATATCCTGCAGGTCTCCCACACGCCTTCTGTCTAAGCGTGTTGCATATTCCTCTCAGTCTGCCCACTTTCTGCTTCTGGCCTCAGTGCCTGGCTGGGCCCTCCACGGGGCTCTTAACCCCTCCAGCCTCCCAGGGCTGGCCTCTGGCAGGGCATTCTGACACTGTGCCAGGCAAGGGTTACATGACAGTTGATCCCTCCTATTCTGCTGCTGGAGCCATCCTGATGGTTCCCTCTGCCAAGGAGGCCAGGCCTGGGAGGCCACTGGTGCCTTTAGTCTTGGAGTGCGCTGCCCACTGCGCGGCCCAGTGCCACCGGGAACCTCAGGGAGCTGAGCACCTCTGTTCTGTGAACGAAAGGCTGTGTCCCGGTTGGTCAGCTGCCCTGGGATGTCCTTGCTAGCCATGGCCCAGAGCAGGTTCCGTGGGGGCCCGGCACGTTTCTGTGGGGGACAGTGCCTGGAGCAGGGTGTCGGTGGGCAGTCATGTGCTGGGTCTTCCCTGGTGGTGCTGGGTCGCTGTCTGGTGGGCGTGGCCTGGTCTGTGTCAGGTTTCATGTGCGCTTCCCTGATGACTAAGGACTGGGCGCCTTTCTGCGTGTTTGCTGATGTGAAGTGGCTGCTGAGTGAAGTCTTTGGCCCACTTCCTGTTTGGGGGACAGTTGCCAATATTATTTCCTACTTGGTGGCTTGCTTTTCACTCCTTTTATTTTTAAATGTTATTTTGAGATCATTGTGGGTGTACATGCATAGTTGTAAGAAATCATTCAGAGAGACCCCTCCTCACGTCCTGGTCCCCCAAAGGCACATACCTGTGCTGCCGCCCTCGCCCGGGACACGGACCCTTACGGGCTTACCAGCATTGCGTGTGTCGTGTATGAGTGTGCGAATGTATGCTTAGCTCTGTGCCGCCCATCACACGTGTCACGTGTAGCTCTGTGTCACCACCCAGGGCCCTGTGAGCCCGGTGCAGACTCCCCTTCCTCAGCTCCGCCCCACACCCTGGATCGGCCTCCGGGGAGTGCCTTTGACTGCACCCGCAGGCGTGACTGTTGGGGCCGTGCTGGTGCCCTCCTGCCCCTGAGCTGGGCACACCTGGTCTTGGTGGGTTCTGTGAAGGGACAACTCCGGTGGGTCCTGTGCCAGCTCTGGGGCCGCCTCTGTACGGTGCAGGCTTCCCCTCGGGCACACTGCGAGGCACAGCCTCGTCCCGGTGAGCTGTGGGGTGAGCTGTGGACCGTGTGTGTCTTCGTCGGAAAGACTGCCTTCCTGCTGCCCGGGTCGGAGCCGCTGTCCGCACGCGGAGCGCTTGCCCGAGTCCACTGCACCCCAGCCCGGGCCTCAGGCCTTGCTAATCTTTACGAGGAACCTCGATATCCACACGTATAAGCACTTGAAACTTGTTCCTTTTAGGATTGTCCCGACGATTCTTGTCCTTTTGCATTTCCTATACAATGGAGACTTAGTTTGGAGAGAGAATTGTGTGGGAAAATTAGAGTTTGCAGGACAACTACGGGGATTTTGACTGATTGCGTGGAGTCTGAGGTGAGTTTGGGGGAAATGACATCTTTCCAGTCTGAGTCTGACCCGTCAGCGGTGCATCCTGTGTGGTTTTCCCCGGAGGCTCAGGGGCCTTTTGTTGCCGTTCCTCCGAGACAGACGAGGTGAGCAGGTGAGCAGAAGAAACGGGCTCAGGACAAAGGCAGGGCAAAGGCAGGGCCCTTGGCGCTCGGAGGGGGAGGGAGAGAGGGAGGAAGGTAGAGGGGATGGGCTTGCGGCAGAGGAGGGAGGAGAAGGGGGTGTGCGCCCTGGGGAGGCTCAGCAGGTTTGTGGTGTTTGCACAGTGCAGGCATTTTGAAAAATGGAGTGTAATCGGATTAATCCGTTTTCTTTTAGGTTCCTGGGTTTTGTGTCAGGTTCAGAAAGGCTATCCCTTTGTTTGTCTCCCTCCTGCCTGTGGTTTTATTGTTTCTCCCACTGGGTCTGATGTGACCATGAGAAGAGGGGCCCCTGCTCTGTGTCCCGGGGCTCCCTGCCACCTGCTCCCCCCTCCCCACCGTCCCTGCAGCAGCCACCCAGTCTTCTCCTCTCTGCCCCCTCACCTGGACACGCCCCCAGCCCCACCCCCTTCTCAGGGCTCTCCTTCCTCCCCACCTGCCCCTGGTTACTCTTGTCCTCTGTCCACTCCCTGCTGGTGAGTGTGCAGGGGTCAGCGTCTCCGTGAGGCCCCCACCCAGGTCTGATCACATCACTCATTTGTCTGAAAGCCTCTGGCTCCTGCGGCTGGTTGGGCAGAGGCCAGCTTCTTGGCCGGGACAGAAGGTGGCGTGTCCTCTATAGCCCTGCCCCGCCCGCCCGCCTGGTCCCCAGCAGGTGTGCACACCTGCCCTCCCCACGCAGAGCGTGTCAAGCTGTTTTGAAGTTTACCTTCAGGTCTCAAAGTCACACAACAGAAATGACCCAAAGTGCAACCACCCAGCTGCCCCCACCCACCCGAGACCCGTCAGTCATCTCGTGTTTCTCACACGGATGCAAACCTACATTGTTTATTCCTTGTTTACATAAAAGGCAGCCTGTCATCCACAGATTTTACACCTTTCACGCGTGCACGGCTCCCTCCGGAGCCCAGCCCCTGCGGAGGCTGGCAGGTCATTTCCAGCGTTTTTGTCCTAAAGGTGGGAGTGCTGGGGGTTAGCGTCTGGAACGTTGCAGAGCAGGCCTCTGGGCAGGTGAGTGTGCCCATAGGATGTCAGTGGTGAGGGTGCCCACGGCAGCACCCGATTGGCTCTTCCATGGTCTCCCCGCCGGTTCAAGAAGCCACTGCCACACTGCCCTTGCCGTTCACACTTCCTCAGCCCACCTGCCAGCCCCCAGCTCCCCACTGCCGCTCCCCAGCCTGCTGCGGGGCCCTTCTCCTCACGGGGATCTAGAGGCAGAGGCCCCTGGATGGCCACCCCGTGACCTCTGCCTGCCTGCAGTGGACCTCGCTGAGGGTAGGGCCTGCCCTTGTGCCCCTTTGTCCCCGTCCCCACCCCCAGAGCAGAGCCCGGTGGAGCAGGGCCATGAGGAGAGCTGTCGGGGGACTGGATCCCGCACACTGGTCGCTTCTTCATGGCCTCGTGCGGCATTCCTCACGTTTCAGGGTCTCTGGGCGCCTGCTCCCCCTCTGGGTGGAGTGAGCCATGGGGCACCTGGGTCTGAGGGGTCTGCTGCCCAGCCACATGGCTCTGCCTGCTTTGCCACCAGCCTTCCCACACAACCGAAGGCCCCCCTTCCAGGTGCCGGCACTCGCTGAGCCCTCAACAAGCGTGTTCTCTCGTGGAAGAGACAGGCCAGGACCCCAGACAGCCTGGGCATCTGGCCTTCACCGCCGGGAAGTGGGGCCCTTGTGCCTGTGGGGGGGGGGGGCGTTCTGCAGGATCGCAGTGTCTGGGAGAGCCACGTGCGGGTGGGGCAGTGAGCCTGGGTAGGGCTGGGGGCCTAATGAACTAAGGGTGTCCCTGAGGCCTTGCTGCGTGGGCCCCTCGCTGCCCAGGAGTCTCGCAGGCAGCCCTGCCTCTCGCCCTCTCTGCTCCTGGGCCAGGGCAGTGTCCGCTCTGGAGTCTGGGGAGGGTGGCACAGTCCTGCGCCATGACTTGGGTGACCTCATCTACCTTGTCTGTGTTTCTGCAGAATGACAACACTTTACTTAGAGTCGAGGCATCTATGGAACTTTCCCTTCTGGCTATTATAAATAATACCACAAATAAAACCAGCTCTTTTGATTGGCAGCTATGGGAGCCACTCCAACAGCCCAAACAGGGCAGACGTGAAGCCCCCAGAACCAGGGGAAGTGGGCAGGGGCCGGGCCTTGCAGCTGGGGCTGCCCTGCCCCCAGCATCGCTGAGATCTCCCCTCCCCGGCCCCTCCCAGACTCTGGCTCTTGTCGCCCTGTCCCTCGCTCACCTTGCGAGGTGCGAGGACGTGGGCAGGGAGGCAGGTGGGGCCGTGGCTCCATTTCCCTGTGGAAAGTGGGGGGTCATGACAGCGACTTGCTGGCTGTGGGTGTGGGGGCTGCTGAAACCCTCCTGGGCTGGGGTCGGGGACCAGGGCCTCCCGTCCAAAAGGCCAGGGGTCCCGGGGTGCTCTTGGCAGTCTTGGGGAGCCCAGGTTTTGGGGCCTCCCACCTCAGTCCACACTCCTGTGCAGCTCGCCTGGCACGGAGCTGAGAACTGGAAAAAAGTGGCCCAGATTATCTCTGTTTGACATTCCAGGGAAGCTTGGGGGCGGATTTGTAGACAGAGGCGGGAGCTGCCCTGCGAGCCCCCTCAGCCTGGGTGTGGAGTGTGGGCCGTTCCTGGGAAACTCCTGAGCTGGTCTCGCCTTCCTGGCTCCGCCGAGGGGCCGGCCACCGGTTCCGGCAGCTGTTCCTGGGCTGTGTCTGCAAGAGGAGGCCGAGAGTGGCTCGGTGAGGGGCAGGGGGGCCAGGTCCTGGGAGGGGGTGCCCACTGCAGCAGGGCCCTGGAGTCACCTGGGCACCTTCTTTCTCCGAGGATGCCCCAAGTCCCCCGGAGCCTGCTTTCGGGGGCTTCCGGCAGAGGGAGGACCTGTGTGGGCGGCCCCAGGTGCTGGGCGGGCGGGGCCAGGTGTGCCGTGCAGCCAGCCAGCGCCCTTTCCTCCCACTGCGGCTGGAGGGGGCGTGGGGGGGGGGTCTCCAGTTGTGCTCTGTGATGGGTTTGCAGAGACGGCCTTCATATGACAAAACCAAAGAGCATGTGTTCTGTGGAAGCCAGCTGCGACTCCAGGGGGTTTTCTGCAGGACGTGGGCATCAGAGTCTCTTTTCTCGTATAACATGATGACATCTCTTCCATCTCATTACACTTAACAAAGTAAGGCAGTGGCTCTGATGTTGGCACCGTCTTGGAGAAGTAAAACTGGTGCAGGAGACGCTGGAGCCCACTCTGCTGGGAAGCTGGGGCGGGGGGGCGGGGTGGAGAGGGAGGGGGGGGCTTCCCTTGGCTGGAGGCCGCGGGCCAAGCAGAGGGCACGGAGCTCTGCCCTGTGTTCCTGGTCTCTTGGGGTCAGTTTCCCTGACAGGCCCAGAGGCTGATGGAAGAGGTGAAGGTCCCACCTTGCAGGGGGTGGGGAGAGGGGGGCACCTCAGCTCTTGGGCGGACAGGGGGAGCGAGGGGAGCTGTAAGTGACCAGCAGAAAGGAGGGAAGGGGGTCCTGTGGGGGGGGGGGCAGTGAGGCTCTGCTGTGCCTCAGGTGTGGTCTGGAGCCGGCAGGTCTCTGCAGCGCCTGGCCCCAGCTTGTCTCACTGTGAGAGGCTGTGTGCCCGAGGGCCAAGGCAGGACTGGGGGCTGGGACGGGGAGTCTGGGCAGCTTGCGTCTGCCCCTGGCCCCAAGAGTCTGCAGAGGTGGCAGCTGGCACAGGCTGCCCAGAGCAGGGGTGCTGCCTGGACAGCTATTCCCTAATTCCATCCTCAAGATGCCGCCCAGGCCGGGCTCAGAGGCCAGAGCAGGTCGGACCTGGACAGGGAAGTTCCCAGGGACACTGGAGGTCCTGAAGCAGGAAGAACCGGATCTCATTTGATCTGGCCCAGGACAGAAAGAAGGGGTTCTCACTGAGTGCCCTAAATACAAGTCTGGCCAGAGGAGGGGTCAGTATCCAGATGGCCACAGGCCTGGCCGAGTGAAAGGGGGACCTTCTGGATGAAATACAGCCAGGGCCTCCTGAGGCATGTCATGTGACCACACCCAGGGGCCACACAGGGGTACTGGGCAGGAAGGCCACCGTGGATTCTATGTGGCTGTGCCCCAGCCAAACTGCCTGCCTAGTTAATAGACCCCAACCCGGAGGCCACTCCGCCCGTGTCCACATGATGGCTGAGGCGTCGACTGGACTGGGCTAGGGACCCGGGAGGAAGAGGCCCGGACGCGGGGCCTGGGGAGCCAGGGTGTTGGCCAGGACAGGCGGGGCCCTGTTTGGCCTCAGGCCCAGGAGGTAGGGCCTGCCCTTGGGCAGTTCCTGGAGAGCCAAGGAGAAGGCCACCTTGCCTGGCCCAGCCTGGGGCAGACAGGGCAGATGCTGTGGGACCAGGGCCAGAACCAGGAGCGTTGGGAAGCAGCAGAGAACAGCTCCTGAAGCAGTCCCTGGGCCCTGGAGGCAGCCTCCTGCTCCCGCCTCAGCTCTTTCTTAAAAAAAAAAAAAAGGTATGTATATATTTCAGAGAGGAAGGGAGAGGGAGAGAGATAGAAACATCAATGATGAGAGAATCATTGATTGTGTGCCTCCTACACACCCCTACTGGGGATCAAGCCCACAACCCAGGCATGTGTCCTGACCAGGAATCGAACCATGACCTCCTGGTTCATAGTTTGACGCTCAGCCATTGAGCGACACTGGCCGGGCCCTTCTCAGCCTTTTTAAACACAGTGTGACTCAGAGGTGGGCAGAGCAAGCTGTTGGGGCCCCCCCCCGGCTCCAATCCCCCAACCGCCCGCAGCCAGGACTGTTGTCTAGCAGGGCTCTCTGTGGGCACGGGCTGGGCCTCCTCAGGGCAGGCCCTGGTCTCACCTGCTAGCTGCTGGGAGCCTCGCCAGCCTCCCTGCTTCCTCTTCCTCCTCAGGCTGGTGGAGCCGCCGCTGTCTGCGACTGGATTGCCTGCCCGGGCTCCTCCACAGGGGCTGCCCTCCTGAAGACGGCTGCCAGACCTGCTCCGCCTCACCCGGGCACCATGTCTGGGACCCCAAGGCTCTAAGCACACACCCTGCCCTGGCTGCTCTGGCTGCTGAGCCCGCCCTCCGGCCACACCTCCTGGTTAGTGCCCATGCACTGACCCTGGGAAACAGACAGGAGGAAGGAGAGGACAGAGGAGGCCAGGCCATGGCTGCTCCCAGGCCCTATCCGGGCTCCTGAGGCTTGGGAGGAAAGGGGCTTCTAGGGCTCCCAGGGGCCTCTGCCCATTGTCCTGCCCGCCCTTCCCCTTTGGCGAGGCGCCAGGAAGCTGCGCCTTTGTTACCTGGGCGATCAGCTACAGAACCTGGACTGAGGCAGACAGGTCCTGCTGCTCCCCAGGCTGTGCACCCTGACCCCAGGAGGGAGAGAGGGAGGCCCTGCCCTCAAACAGCCAAGCGGCCAGGGCTCCTGAGAGGTGGCTGCTGGCGTCGCCCACGCGGCCCTTTGTGCCAGGGGCCTGTGCCCCTGGGGCTGCCTGAGCCTGGTCACGGAGTGGGATCTCCTGACCCAGCCTTGCCAGGGGCAGAGGGCACCGGGCCTTGAGGAGGGGATGCCCGCGAGGGTCCCAGTCCAGCCGGCTGCCCCGCCCCTCAGGCCCAGCCTGGCCCCCTTGTTCCCCTGTCTGGTGCCCCGAGCAACCCCCCTGGCGGGAAGCCCCCGCCATGGCCGAGCACCTGGAGCTGCTGGCAGAGATGCCGGCGGTGAGCAGGATGAGCACGCAGGAGCGGCTGAAGCACGCCCAGAAGCGCCGTGCCCAGCAGGTGAAGATGTGGGCCCAGGCTGAGAAGGAGGCCCAGGGCAGAAAGGGCCACAGGGAGCGGCTGCGGAAGGAGGCGGCTGGCGGCAGGCTGCAGAAGCGGGTCCTCTTCCCGCCCAGTGTCACCCTTCTCGAGGCCGCTGCCCGAAATGACCTGGAAGAAGGTGAGTGTGGCTGACCCTAGGGTGGTGCCCGGCCTACAGCCCGTCCCTGTCCCCCTGGCGTCATCCTCGTGAGACCTGCCGAGGACACAGCTGCATCTCACGGGGACCTGGGGTCCAGCCCAGCTGCCTCAGCTGTGGCTGCAGGTGAGGGGCAGCATGCAGGCTCCTGCTTCAGATGTGAGGCTCCTAGGAGCCTGGAGAGGTGTCCCGGGCGTGGCTGCAGTGGGCTGAGGCGGCCTAGTCTTCCTGCTAGGGACTGGTCTAGGGACCCGGGAGGAAAAGGCCCGGGGGCTGGATGGTGCTCAGGAGAGTCCTGTGGGGAGCAGGGCTTTGCCTTAGGAGATTCCTGGCCTAAGCTTTGGGCAGGCTCCCCGTCCCTCCCCGACCTCCTTCCAGGATAGGGGCCTCTGCTGCAGAGCCTGGGGCGAGGAAGGCCCGCGGCTGGGGAGGTGGACAGGGCGCGGTGGGTGTGGCACAGGGCACAGGGCACTGTGGGAAAGAGGGTGCGTCCTTGTGCTGCCTACAAGCACCCCCAGGGAGGTCCAGGCCACAGGGAGGTCAAAGGTGACCTTGGCAAGAGCCTGGGCCCAAGGTGGGGCTGCTGAAGAGGACTGAGGGCCGGGCCAGTTCTGCTCCTGGGGAGACCCTGGGGGGCAGGCCTGGCACCTCAGCCCACACTCCAGGCTGCAGCAGGGCTGGGAGCCCGCAGGGGGGGAGGGAGGGGAAGGTACCAGGGATGGGCGTTTGTGGGGGCCAAGTGGTCTGTGGGGAAGGCTGGGGGGGAGACACGGGACATGGGAGGGTTGGAGGAGGGTGCCAACACCCAGGCCAGAGTGGGGTAGTCTGGAGCCCAGTGCGACCGTGCTCACACAGGACGGGGTGCATCTGGGAGTCTGAGGGGTGGAGTGCCAGGATTTGGGAAGGGTGGGTCCTGCTGGGGGCTGGAGGCAGAGACCTCCTGCACCTGTACCACCATCTTCCTCATCCTTCTCTGCTCCCAGCCACAGCACAGCAGTCAGCCAGGTCACCTCAGGTGCAGGGCCTGCCCAGGACAGAGCCGGCCTGTGGCAGGATCTCCATTCCTACCCCCTGAGCACACCCCCCTCCTTCTTGCAGTCCGCCAGTTCCTTCAGAGCGGGGTCAGCCCGGACCTGGCCAACGAGGATGGTCTGACGGCCCTGCACCAGGTGAGCCCTGCAGGGGCTGGGAGGACGGAGCTGGCTGGGGGCTGGGGGTGTAGAGGGGGCTGGCCTGGTGCTCAGGCTGCCTGGTTTACAGAGCTGCATCGACGACTTCCGGGAAATGGTGCAACAGCTGCTCGAGGCCGGCGCCACGGTCAACGCTCGCGACAGTGAGAGCTGGACCCCCCTGCACGCTGCGGCCACCTGCGGCCACCTGCACCTGGTGGAGCTGCTCATTGCCCGGTAGGGCCCCTGGGAGCAGGTGTGGCCAGAGTGGGCATCTGTGTCAGGGAGGGACCATGGCTGGGCAGCGGGCAGTTGGTCCTGAGACACAGCCCAGGCACCTCATCTGGAGGAAGTGTGCCCTTGCCTCTTGCTCCCATTGGCCTTTGCTTACTGCCTGTGTCCTGGCGTGGAGAGCCGGGCGTGGGCAGGGGCCACACGCACTCTGGACAGGGTCATCCGCCCGCCTGGCTGCTGACCTGGGTATATCCTGCCAAGTACTGTCAGGAATTCAGAGGCTCCTTGAGGGTGGGCCTTGACCTCCAGCACTGGCCTCCTGGCCTCCCCAGGCCCTGTACAGAGAAATGCCATCTGGTCAGTGGTGAGGGTGAAACTGGCAAAGAGGGAGGGAGTACCTGGACCCAGGTGAGGCCTTTACCATGAGGAGTGAACGTGCCGATGGTCGGCTTCACCGGATCCAATAGTCCCCCCTCCCCCGCGCACAGCTCCTCAACTCTGACCCCTCTAGTAGGATAGATGGTTAGGTGCTCAGACTGTCTGTGGAGCGTCCCAGGCATCGATGGTATGTGCGAGGGAGAAGAGCAGTACTGAGCCCCTCTCCTCTCCACAGTGGGCACCCACCCGTGTCCCCCCCTCTAGGCTCCCACGTGAGCCCTGCTCCCTGCAGCTCTGCAGGGCTGTCTTGGTGCCCAGGCTCTGCCCCTGGGGCCTCCAGAGTACCATCACCCACTCCTGGCAGGTGGGCCCAATGTGCACGTTCACGGGGGCTGATGGCTGCCAGTAACCGACAGACACAGGAGGAGACTGCAGGGCTTGAGGACAGGAGCCAAGGCTGAGGGGCACCAACAGGCCAGGGGCAGCCTCTCCCAGCAGCATCTGGGGCCTGGGCCTCATTGTCGGCCCCACATGCCCAGGAGGCAGCCCTAGGCTGAGGCTTTGGGGGAGGAAGGACCTCTGAGTGGGGCCTGGGGGCCTCCCTTGTAGGGAGAAGGTGAGGGGGCCCTATGGCCAGCACCCTGTCCATCTTCCCTGCAGTGGTGCTGACCTCTTGGCAGTCAACACCGATGGAAACATGCCCTACGACCTGTGTGAGGATGAGCAGACGCTGGACTGCCTGGAGACGGCCATGGCCAACCGGGGTGAGTGTGATCCCACCCGCTGCCTGGGTGGGGCCCTCGGTGCTGGCTCTGAGCCTGTTGCCCTGCAGGCATCACCCAGGACGGCATTGAGGGGGCCCGGGCCTTGCCGGAGCTGCACATGCTGGAGCACATCCGAGGCCTCCTGCGGACGGGGGCCGACCTGGACGCCCCTGGGGACCACGGGGCCACGCTGGTGAGGACTGGCGCGGGAACGCCAGGGGTGGAGGGTGCTGCGGGCACGGCCAGGACTCAGGAGGGGTGGTTTGCCTTAGCTACACATCGCCGCCGCCAACGGGTTCAGCGAGGCAGCGGCCCTGCTGCTGGAGCACCGGGTCAGCCTGGGCGCCAAGGATCGTGACGGCTGGGAGCCGCTGCACGCTGCCGCATACTGGGGCCAGGTGAGTGGGCTGGAGCAGTGGGCGGCCGGGCGCCAGTGGTCCCCCAGCTCTGGAGCTCAGCAGCCCGGTCCGCTGGCCCGCAGGTGCACCTGGTGGAGCTGCTGGTGGCACACGGTGCCGACCTCAATGGAAAGTCCCTGATGGAAGAGACGCCTCTGGGTGAGC